GTGTGTGTTAGTTGTGTGTGTGTCGTGTGTCGTGTGTGTGTGTGTGTGTGTGTGTGTGTGTGTGTGTGTGTGTGTGTGTGTGTGTGTGTGTGTGTGTGTGTGTACGTGCATGTGTGTGCGTGTGTGTGTGCGTATTCTTGTGTGATGCTATAGTGAAGCTCACCTGTCTATTCGTTGTATTTTGATTTTACGTTGATTAAGCGGCATTGACATACCAATGAAAAAGGAATGCATGACCATTTCCAGTTAGCAATGTAAACTGGCAATTTTCCACTATTTCCCGGTTAAGTAAAAACGCAATTCAGGGTTTCCCGCGTTCCGGGTGACGTCTATTCTCGAATCACGAAAAATCAATCGTGTGTTTTTCAGTTCGCAGATAATAAAATGTTCCCATCCTACGCCCCGAAATTAACCATAGCTTTCTTCGACACTATGCACGTTTACATGATGCTTACGATATCGCTGCTTTAGTTTCAGTGGTTTTGTCTCATCGCTCGGTTCGCCTGCACCGGCTTTGTTGACTGCCCGCACTCTGAACTCGTACTCGCTGCCCTCCATCAGTCCAGGAACAGTCGCCGTGGTCGAGTCTGGCACTTCTAGCGTCGTCTCCCACGACATGCTGCAGCGACATGTCGTACGAAACGTTCGCTATCTCGGTTCCATGATCGGAATCGATGTTTGCATAGATACTATACGTTTCGTGAATGAACACGGAATTCGCTTTGACAAAACCCGAGAAAATATGTGAAAACAGTACAACCACATTCGCGCGTCGTTGAGAATATCTGTGTTTTACTTACCTACATAAAACGTTATCATAAACATATATACATTTCCGTGCACATGAATACCTGTACTTCTAGCGCCTACCTGTATTTGTCCTTTTGCTCAATGATATAGCCAGTGATTGGCGATCCGCCGTCGGATGCCGGTGGCTTCCAGGATAGGTCGACATGGTCCTTGTCCCAGTCCATCACTTCCGGTGTTCCTGGCTTACCGGGTTCGTCTGAAACACAACATATTTATGACGTCGAATTTGACGTTGATTTTGCGATGCGCAGAAATGACATTAGATGCCTACAAATACAGATGGCGCTAGCTCTCAGCAGCGTCGCGCAACTCTCGTCATCAAAATAATCGCCACGATGATTTCGTTTCAATAACCATTGCCGCGAAGTTGCCTGATCGATCTGGTACGGCAGTATCTCTCACCGAAGGGGTCCTTAGCGACGACGACGTCGGACTTGGTCGCCGGCGACTCTCCGAGCTTGTTGACAGCCTTCACGCGGAACTGGTACTCGTTCTTTTTCGTCAGCTTCGTCACGGCGAGCGTCGTATCCTTCACCTCCTCCAAGATGAGCCAGTCGCCGCCCTTCGTCAGATTGACCTTTTCGACGACGTAGTGCGTGACCTTGGAGCCGCCGTCGTCTGCTGGCGGCTTCCAGGTGAGAACGAGGCTATTGCAGCTTACCTTTGACACGGCTACCGGCGGCTTCGGCTGCGACGGTTTGTCTGCGTGCAGATTAAATGCGGATTTTGAAATGCTTGCGAGTAAAATCTCTTGGACACCGTGAACTCATACACTATACCTATTCGATGGTAACCGATGATAATCTTACAATTCTGCTATATTTTTACGGTAAATACGTTATACTGCTTCTCGTTCGAGCACATCTATAGTACGTATGGCTGGATGCAATGCTCAGTATTTATACTAGACCCATTGAAATTTATTGAAGGTCTCTATTACTCGATGACGATACACGCACCTTGAACAAGAACTGTGGCCGATGCAGATTCTTTGCCACTTTTGTTCTGTACGGTGAGACTGTAGAGTCCACTGTCGGACCTCTCGGCATGTTTGACCACCAGGTGACTCTTCTTGTCGGTTGTCTTGGTAACGACATGATTCCCTGGCGGTACCTCGTTGATTGTCCAGATGGCTTCGGGGAACGGGTCTCCGCTAATAGTGACTTCGTATTCGACAGTCTGTCCTACCTTCACGGTGACATCTTGTAGTGCCAACTTATCGAGCTTTGGAGCGACTGTCAAAAGAACCAATATAACAATGATAAGAGCAGTAACATAGTCAAAGTATCATAAACGATAATATCTACAATATATTTGACTGACATAGTTATCCTAACCGTTTAATAAAGAAAGGAGATAACATTATATCAGGAGTGTCATAATATAGACTAATAATAATTATAGACTGTCATAATATAGAGGTCTATACTATGACACTCCTGATTATTTCAAGGGCACAAAACACCCGGGGTCTGTGCTCTCTTTGTCCCAGTCGTCACAAATTGTTAGTAATTGCGATAGTGACCGGGGTACATTTCGAATAAATCGTGGCGGAAATAATTCGCCAATCGCGTTCATTTCTCACTATCATTGATTAAAACTAGTCGGGTGGTAAAATTAGCGTAATATCATCTCGATCCCACGTAGTTGCTTACGTACCGAATCTTGGCTTGGCGACGATGGGCGTTGCCGATGGCTCGCTTGGTTCGCCTGGCCCTGCCTCGTTGAGGGCCTTCACGCGGAACGTGTACTCGTCTCCTTCGACCATCTCTTCCACAGTCGTCTGCAGCACGTCACCTCGCACGTACATAGTCTTCAACCAGTTAGTACTGAAATGTATGAGCCCGTCGTTATGTGAACGCTCGAGCATTGGGTGGAAGTATGCGGAGAAGATTTTGAGTATTGGCGCGAGTTGGCAGAGATTTTGGATGGATAGTTAAAAGTTGGGTTATTTTGAACAAAGACAATAACGTCCTATGTTATAACGTCTATTTTTTTTTTACAATTCAACCATTTCCTTGCATCATTATATATATATATATATATATATCTACAAAAAATAGCTATGGTATCTTAATTTTAATTCACCTAAATTTAGTTTTTCTTTCGACGATATAGCCCGTAATAGGGGAGCCACCGTCGTCTTTGGGCGCTGTCCACGTCAGGTCGGCATGGCTCGCATCCCAATCCTCAGGTACGGGCGCACCCGGTTTACCAGGCACGGCTACACAATAGCACATAATAATCACCAACGCATCTTATACGCGTTAACACTATTAATGACACTATAGAATATATATATTAGAACATCTGTAAGAGCGGTTGTAATAGGTTTGTATCACGTGCTCGCTAGGCGACTGAACCTAGTAAAAATTATGCCTCATAGATGTAAACCGAAAATTTACCACGAACAATAAAAAGTTTGCCCAGGGCAGTTGTCGGTGACTTTTGAAGTTAGTGTCACCGTTTATCGTTTTAGTGTCAACGGCCACTAACTCCACCAGAGGGAAGAGATAGTCGATACTCACTGAACGGTGGCTTGGCGGTGGACAGCTGTGACGGCTGGCTAGCGGGACTCGAACCTGCTGCGTTGAGTGCCACCACTCTGTACTGGTACTCGTTGTTCGCGATCACTGTCTTGTCGTTAAAGGCCAGCGCCTGCGGGAGCAGCAAGCGTAAAGTTAAGCATCTGTACGAGGTGCGGTCGAACACTTGGCACGTCGAATGCATCGAGGATTTTCGCTGCGAAACACTTTAGTTCGTATCGCCGTGTTTGCATGCCCATGAGGCGTAGTATTCGAATGATTTCGATGATAGCACGAGTTACGGTTGATTTCGTTGCAAAATACTTAACTAAGTTGAGCTAAGTTTAACGCACCGCTGTGACTGCCCCTGAAATTAGTATTCGATGATTTAAATGGTTTCGTTGATGACGGGTGTGTGATCGTCTTCAACTTGCTGACATTTTTACCTTAACGGGCTTTTTACTGACGACGACCCAGTCGTCCGAAGTTTTCGATTTCCTTTCGACGTCATATCCAGTAATGGGACTGCCTCCGTCATCCTCCGGTGCTGTCCACTCGATCTCTATATGTTCGTTGTCACATTCGATGACCTCTGGACGACCCGGCGCACGCGGCTCGTCTGCGTAACGAAAAATGCAAACTATATAATGGCAGTCGAAATAAAGTTAATTAATAATTCTGTTAAATTTATTATTCCGCTTTGCATGATCTACTATTACGTCAATAGGTAGTCTCATTATAATTAGGCACTAGCTTTTGCGCTGTAGAAGCGGCAGCGATCCCAGCATGCTGCCCTCCCGTGATTAAACATCGGGTAAAGTTATGAAAACACATGAACATGTAATCTCGAAGCCAGTAGGAATTGTAATATTGCACTGAGCATCGTGAAAACTGCACAAGTCAACACATGCCGACACATGACCGTTATTAGAACGTCTAGTTATAATGCAACCCAAGGCCTCGCAGTCGATTACTTTGGAATTAAATTTTAGAAATGTGATTTCTTATACGGGATGATTATCGCGACGCAGTACCATGCAAGGTAGCAACGTTCGACGCAGTACCATGCAAGGTAGCAACGTTCGACGCAGTACCGTACGGGGCGCCCATATGTGACGCAAAACTACGTCTGAAGCTTCGCAGAGCATGACGCACCACTGCATAACGTAGTGAAAGGTGACACAGCACGACGCGACGCCACACCGCGTAACACAAGACCGTCTGACGCTTCAGGCAGCGTGGCGCACCACCGCGTAAAACGCAATACCGTCTGACGCAGCGCGGCGTGACGCAGTCCTCCCGTGACGCAGCAGAAGAAGCAGCAGCAGCAAGCGCAGACGGACGCGACTCACCGAACGCGTCCTTGGCGACGATCGGCTGCGACTCGAGCGCGTCGGAGAGTCCGTTCTGATTCTCGGCCATGACGCGGAACACGTACTCGTGTCCCTGCGTCAGCTTGCCGGCCGTGAAGCCCGTCGCAGCCACGAAGCCGCTCAGGCTCTCCCAGCGCTTCTGCGTCGTGTCGCGTCGCTCGACGGTGTACGAGAGAATCTCCATGCCTCCGTCGTCCTTCGGCGGCTTCCACGACAACGCGCAGCTCTCCTTTGTCGTGTCGGCGATGGTGAGAGGACCCTCCGGTGGGCCTGGTCGATCTAAACCAACACAGCGATTCGTGAGATCATTCGTTGACATTAGGCCCTGTTTGAGGGTGCATGTCCACAATCACCGTATATATATATATATATATATATATCACCTAATCATAATATTGTATACCTATATCTTCAATCCCCATCGCCTAAACCTAGATCGCCATCATTAACATTACCCATCAATCACCCTGTATTAAGACACTAAACACACAATAAATATTAAGAAATGCTGTAAAAAAAGCAATAAATGAGTAAAATACTGTAAAATTAAGAAAACCTTAAGACTAAAAAGGAGCGATAACATATGATGAATGCGCGCTGACCTGTGACGGTGACTTTACAAGATGCCGAATCTTTGCCGTGGTCATTGCGTACGCTGACCGTGTACTCGGCCGTGTCCGAGCGCTCGGCAGAGCTCACCATTATCTGACTGCTCGTCTCGGTTGTGGTTACCACACATCTGATGAGAGAGCATTAAGATCACACTAAGCGAACAAGCACTCACACACGCACACGCACGCACGCGCGCACACAAACACACACACATACACACGCACGCATACGCACACGCACACGCACACGCACACGCACACGCACACGCACACGCACACGCACACGCACAGGCACACGCACACGCACACGCACACGCACACGCACACGCACACGCACACGCACACGCACACACGCACACACACACACACACACACACACAAGTCACTGGTCATGACTATATAGCAGCAGTTAAGTTGTAAATTGAAATAACCGAACCAGTTGTTATGGATGGGTTCAACACGTTTGATAGAATTACATTTTTGAGATAATGCTTTGGTACACAATTGCACAGGTTTACAGTGTTAGAATATGTCAGGGACATGATGGTACGCATGACACCGCTTGCACACGTACCTGGTGGAAGATTCCACAGGCTCTCCTGCCTTTGTCCATTTCAGTTCTGGAGTAGGTTCGCCGGACAAACCGACATTTAATTCAAAAGGCTGACCAGCTTTGAGCTTGAGGTCTCTCAGACCCGATATATCCAGTTTCGGCGCAACTATTGAAGAAATCACACGAAACACGAAAAAACGAATTTAATTTCACAAGACACATACGTTCACAAACTTCGCACAAAATTATCGCATTGCAACATAGTACGTTACAAATCTTTCTTGAAGGAGGTGATTCGCGCGTATGCGAGATCACGGCGAGATGCGAACATTGCAACGCGTCATTATAACTCAAATGCTTCTGCTAACAATCCAGATCTACGTTACACGTACTTCGTGTCTTAAAGAGTTAAAGGTGTAGGAGAACCTACTTTATAAGTAAAAGAGAGAGAGAGAGAGAGGGTGGCGAAAGAGAGAGCGAGCAATCGAGTGAGTGGAAGAGAGAGAGAGAGCGCGAGAGAAAGAGAGAGAGAGGGAGCGCGAGAGAACGGGCGAGAGAGAGAGAGTGAAAGAGAGAGTGAGAGTGAGAAACAAAGACAGTGATAGAGAAACACACAGGAAAGGAAGAGAAAGAGAAAAGAGATAGGAAGTGCGAGCCGGCGCGAGAGAATCGAGAGACGCTAATTCACTCACCGAATCTAGGCTTGGCGACCATTGGCTGTGACGGCTCACTAGGCTCGCTGGGGCCCGCCTTGTTCACGGCAACGATCCTGAACTGATACTCAACGCCCTGCCGCAGCCGACCGGCCGTGTACGTCAGCTTCTCGCTCGTTCCCGCCTCCGACCATTCGCGCATCTTGTTGTCTCGTATCTCGATGACGTATTTCAGTATCGGGGAGCCACCGTCGCTCTCGGGTTTCGTCCACTTTAGGTCGGCGTGGTCGCTGTTCCAGTCGGTAACCTCTGGTCGTCCGGGGGCGCTGGGCTCGTCTACAATATAGAGATCGTGTGTGCAAACGACGGTCCAGAATTGTCATATTAATATAGCTACATGCATTCCCATCATTATATCAGGAGAACATGCTATCTCTATTCACGTTTTCCTGATTATATGATATAACATCGTCGCTGACATGATAGGAAATTGATGTGTGTGTGTGTATGTGTATGTGTGTGGGTGTGTATGTGTATGTGTGTGGGTGTGTGTGTGTGCATGTGTGTGTGTGTGTGTGTGTGTGTGTGTGTGTGTGTGTATGTGCATGTGTGTGTGTTGTGTGTGTGT